ATTAGATACTATTACTCATCATTTTGTATTTAAATGATCATTAAATTCACCATTAAAACATAATTTTGGCTCCCGGTCTCTTTTCTCCGAAGACTCAAATGTCGCGCTCCAAATGTGTTATAAAGTTCAGACAGGCCCGACAAATGCGAGCAGACTTCTTGGCTTTATTGTCGAGATCTAATCCTAAACGGAGAACTTGTTCGTATATACATTCACGTTTTCTATTTCATTCAAAAACGTTTTGCGAGTTTGCAAGTACTCCACGAATACTTAAATTCTTTTTGCAACACCGGCAAAGGTCGTTAACACACATTTTTCTTGTAAATACTTATTTTCTTGGGTGCAGTTCAGTTCTGTTGACAACTATGAGTCGCTCAACATATGTCACTTGCTGCAATGTTCTGATTGGTTGTAGGTCTTTCCAATTGAGTGCAGATTTTTTTTTTTCCTGGATCGATTAAGACATGCCTCATAATCAAAGCCCTATGGAGCTGTATCAGACTCACATTCTGAATAGAATATGAGTATGACGAAGTCAGGCTGGGGATGCCACATCTCGTTCCCCTTCTCACAGAACCAAGCTTCCAGACGTTCCCTTACGAAGTGGAACTTCGATGCGGCGTCTGGAGATATACACATATACCTACTCTGCCATGCTAAGCGAGTGCTTGCCTTACTAGACTAAGTATAAAAGTTATAGCCCTTTTGAAAAACCTTCATCCCCAAAGGGCAGGTAAAGATACCCAAGTGTTCTAAGACATCGCACATCATTAGCCATGTCAAAAACTTGACATAGCCTTTCAGGGAGTAGCTGTTAAAGTATACTTTGATCTACCACTACTTCTCAAGGGATGAAAATCATGAAAATAAAAGACTTCCTCTCATTTCTGCTCAACCTCTAAGGCCTACAGAGGAGCAAAACTCTAACCGTTGCGTACGCACAAAACAGGCCCTGAAAGAGGCTTCCAGCGCATAAGTTGTGATTTATAAAAACAAACTTGACGGGAAAATTTGCGCACATGCACGCAAACTCTTTTGGTTCAAATTTTGGAGACACCAATGGTGAACTGAGGGATTGATGGCAGATGAATGAAATGAAACATATTGAACTTGAAAAGTTGCGCATATACCCTATCCATATTGCAAATAACATATTCATAAACAACTTTCAATCCACATTATGCATCCTAATCATAAATGCGTGCATGTTCACAATACCAATTTAAATAAATAAATGGCAATAACATATCAAATAAAAGTTTACAAAGTGAACTTCCTTTAACTTTCATTTTGTAAGGCCGTGTATCCACCAAAGCGTTTTTAGCCAGCTGAAAACGCCAGACGCTCTTGAGAGCGTTTTGGCAGCGCAGCATTTTTTTCCATTGAGACGTTTTGTTGCTTTGATACAGAATATCCGAAGCACAGTTTACTTGTAACTGATTTCGCATATAATTTGTTTCATACTAAAAAAAAATATTTTTCACCCATTTTGTTCGGTTAGCTTTGCTGGTTGATGTCGTTGTACAGAAAGAATGTTGTGACAGTTGGTCAGTGTGGTTTAGTCCCGCGTCTCCTGCCCCTCCTCCACCGTGATTCGACGGCTGGGTAAGAAGTTACAGTGATGAGCGCTGCGTTTTATCCAAAGATGAACACTTTTCAACTCTCGGCGACCAGTAAAAAACGCTGGGCGCTCGGCGCTTCAGCGTGAAAACAAACGCTCAGCGCCTCGTTACGATCATGGCGTTTAAAAAACGCGGCGCTCCCATTGAAAACAATTGAAAACATACAGCAGGCGCGTGGAAAAACGCTTTGGTGGACACACGGCCTTAGAGTGGGCGTATGGGTTTACCACTCATTGTCTGATTGGTATAACAAGGTGTAAAGGATCGAATGTGATTGCTGTTTACATAAATACTATGGTGACACTTTTGCATGATGGATGCGCTGGCATTGCAGGAGGACTATGCCAATGGCAGACTTAGGAGAGAAAGAGTATTTAGAAACATGAAGATTTCCTGGCACACGATGATGACTGGCTCATAAGCCTATTTAGGTTCCCAAGAGCCATGGATCTGCAAGCTGAATTGCGGCCAACATTACGAAGGCCAACTGCACGAAACCACGCCATCCCGGTCTCAACCCAAGTCCTTTCAGTTTTAGGATTTTTGGCAACTGGGAGTTACTAGCGGGAGTTAGCCGATGGGCAAGTTAACAGATATGGTGACGTGATCTTTTTTCCTGTTTTCTTGTGGAAACTTATAATTCTGTTCATTTGACATACGTCTGGGATTTCACAGCCATCCCTAAGTTCCTTAATGCCTGCTGTTTTGAAAGGGATTATTACAATGAAAAATTGAAATATACATTTTCCTTGCACTATTTGGGAACAGGTCAATCTCAAAAAGGCAATTTTCAGCAATGTCCAGATTCCCAAATGTAATCGGCTGTAATCGAGTAATGTAATTGGGTTACTTACATTCAAATGAGCATAACTGGAAGATGATTTTAGGCTGAACCACCTGTCTGAAAAACAGATGTTCAGAAAAAACCTTTGGAACAGTCATCATAAAGCATATAAATTCCACACTTGACCTTTAAATGTGAAGTTTCATCACATTGAATAACCTATGAATGACTGTTATGACCCAACTCAAAGTCATAAGATAAAGATGACAATTCACAAGGTTTCAATAGAGAATACTTGAAGAGTTCAGATGCAAAAGCCTCTAAGTGCCATTTGAAATTTTCTTCTAGAATGATCATTTTTATTTTTAGTTCAGTAATTTCACTTAAATTGCAATGAAGATTACCTATTAATTGTCATTTAAGTGAAATTACTGAACTTAAATATATACAAGCTTGATAAATGATCATTCTAGGAGAAAATTTCAAATGGCACTTAGAGGCTTTTGCATCTGAACTCTTCACTTATAAATGGGAATTTACCACTCACAAAGGGCCACATTTAACGAAACCCCATTTAGAAATTGCCCAAAGGTTGCAGGCAGGAACATAGCATGACATTACCCACGATACAGGGCATTAGTTAAAACATTCTCCTTTTCATTTAATGGGATGAATTTGTAGAGGATTTGACTGGAAAGAAACTCCATCTCATTAAGCGCTGGTTGGTGGTACAACTCCGCTGTAAAAAGACTAAAGGATTGTGTAGTGTTCAGTAATCACTTGACAGGAAGGGAAAATGAATAGGAGTCGTTAACCCTGCTCAGGGCGACTCCATGAGCGTTGAGCAAAGTGTCATTAAGCTGCCAGTCTGATCACAGCCATTTGACTGGTTTAATTTGGATAACCGTCCCCAAACATCAATCATATAAAAGAGTATAATCATATCAAAAGATGCATAATAAATGAGCTAGAAAGGGAGGAACACAAAACACTGTCAAAAATCAATGGTTTCTGAAACTTGCCAATTGTAGACAAAGCCAGCCACTGACAGTTCACATGACATGCCAGTGGTGGCTCCTGCCAGCCAGCTGAAGATTGAAGCCCTACTGGATTATTTCAGGAGAAACTGATGACTGACAGACAGGACTCTCGCAAAGAAACATGGTGGCTCCCATCTCACACTATAGATCAAGATCAAGATTATTTCTAAAGGTTTTTGAACGACTAAACACACTCACTTGAGAATCGGAATATCAGATAGTTGATGACATAGTAAGCAAGTTTGTGAATATTTCAAAGAAAAAAAAAAGAAATAAAAGCATACGTCTGTCATGTATTATTGTGGCTGCGGTGTGTCACGTGACAAAAGGGGGAATGTTCTAAAATAACAGTCACCTTGAAAAAAACTCAAAATTCTGAGTCAGAAACTTAAGCGTGAAAGGGTTAATGTGCTTCTTTTTATCACATGGTTTCTTGCTCACTTGCATTTGTGGTCCAAAGGTCCACAAATGAAGATCTTATGGGGTTGGTACAGCATGGGGGTGAGTAATTAATGCGCTCAGAACTAACCCTTTAAGGGTTGCATTAAAACCCATAACTTCCCTAAGTATAACTTAAGGTTTGGAAACTGTAACATTAATGCAGACAAAAATAAGACGAAATGGCTGAATTTATGGAACCAACAGAAGATCATTATGCGCCAAGAAGAATTTCTAGGGATAGGGAGATCACTTTGGACCATCTCAGCGATGACAAATTGTTTCAAAATACCGATTTGATTGACGTGCAATATTTGACATTGCTATCAAAATGTTGGTCAGTTTTGTAATTGTTAGGTCTTAACACTGTAAAGCAATAAAGTGAACTCTTCACTCTGACCTCTTTTAACCAAACCACTTCCATTCTATTGAAGTAGCGCCCTTTTTTTACTAAATCGTCATCGGAGTTCATGCAGGCCACTTATAGTCTCAGACAGGTGTTGTTGTGTGAGCTAGGGAATGTTTCAATGTTTGTTTCAATAAAGACAATATAGTTTTATTTAAAGTTAAACAAATAAAGTCTAGGGTCAAAATATAAGGTAAAAAGAATAAATATAAATACACCCTCAAATCAATAAACTGTTGGAAACGTGGCTTGTAGAGTTGTGGAGATCATATGGGAACACAAAAACTCAAATACCCACTCTTCAAACAAAGGAAAAACAAAAATGAGAGAGAACTAGACAAAATCCAGGAGCTCCTTAAATAGGATGACACAGGTGCAGCTGGTTTTCATTAGGGCAATCACACCCACCAAGGAGGAGTTGGTCCTAGAATTCTCATAAAAGAAACTAAAGAAACAAAAAAAAAAAAAACAGGGACAGGTCTGTGACAATGACTGAGATACTCATTAGCATTGGAACATCTTTTGACAACTTGTAGATAATGATCCTTTAAGTGATATATAAGTGAATATTAAGTGAATTATAATATGTCTTTTTGTCTAGCTCTGTGCACCAGTGCGGGCCACAACAATAGCTTCAATGCGGTCTCATTAGTGACGAGGGGCAGTTAGTTTTGCATTCAATACTGAAATCAAGACACTGCAATAATGAATTTAAGGCAACAGGATTTGAAGTTTATCATAAATTTCAATATTATAATTCACACACAATTAAAATCTTTTTAGAAAACAAAGGTGTTTAAAAATAAACCTACAAATAACCTTGGACAGGTTGGGTTAATTGTGGAATATTAATATTTCAGACATTTGAGACATGCAACTCCCAAGAAAACGACTGTAAAGGACATTCATACAGATCAGAAGGCATCCTTCCATTTATGTTTGTGCAAGATTCACAAAATTGAAAAACATAATGTAACAATGAAGGGCGAACAATAACATTTGCACACGCCAGACCAGACATACACACTCTCACTACTACTCTCACACGCACACTCAGACACTATAATTCTTCTTTAGTGCTTTTCTGTAGTCCTTCTGTGTGTTTGCCATTCTTCAACCACTTGTTAAACATCACAATAGGGTCTATGTTCCAGTGTTTGTGGAAGGAAATGGGGGTCTGGTGGGCCAAGAACTCCCTTGCGTAATCTTCTGGACGAGCCTGAGACAGAAAACAAAAATAAACACAGACGCAGGTATGATTAGTGTTACCAAGTGAAACTACTACTGTTACCTCCCTTCCTATTATTTGGTGACATCTTCCTTAAAAAAAAAAAATATGATGATTGATTGAAACCAAATGCCTTGTCCAGTTGGTGGTGCATATTAATTAGCTAACGTCTAGTGTTGTCTCATCTTTGATCTGAGTGCATGATGTCTTTGTCCAGCCTTCGGCTTTAGCAAAGAATTTATATATAGAAAGACGGTGCACTTGTATTACTATCAATGGGAGAAAGGGCACTGTGTAATATGACAGAATAAGTTCCCACCTTTAAATAAAAGAGGCAATGGCTGATTGGTAAACTGCGTCACTGAAGCTGCTGTTAGATGTTTCGGTTGCTAAAGAAACAGTCAGTAATCTGAGCATAGACAGTAAAGGAAATGGACACAACGACCCCATTGACTTCAACAGAGTCAATTAGAAGCACTCACTTCCTGATTGCCAAGCGCACTGTGCAGATTCAAACTGAGCTTGTCGACGGAGATGTGACGTGAGCAGCTGTAAGACGTGCCAAGGCTGTGTCCAAGGGAATCTGAATCATTCCCTTCCAAATCTTGCAGAGCCGGATATCGTGAGTATTAGCTGGCCATGAGCTCGCAGCAGGATCAACTTTATGACTCTCTATGGGCTTCTCCCTTGACTTTATATTCCTCCAAATCCCTCTGATTGCATGCGAGCTTCTACTTCTGTCTATTCGGTAATTCCACTACTTTGTGACATAGAGTCGTGTGTTATGACGCAATCCTATTTTTACAAAAACGGCTTCTACGGGGCCATAACGTGAGATGCAAAGTAATGGAGCCTTTTATAATTGTCATGTTTCTTTAGAAATAAACAATAGACAAATGGATTCTTTGGGCGCCTCAGATGTTAACTTATTCACTTTCAAAGTCGATGGAATGCTAACAGCAGGTGAAGTTCTGCTACAATGGCGGCCCCCCAGAGGAAGCTTTAGTTTCCGGCTGATGGATTACCCCCTTGAATCTGAGATACGTTTAGGACAGCACATGCGCATTGGCTGCTCCAACCTAAGACCTAAAACAACTTTTTTTAGTTAATTGTCTGTAAGACTGCAGCTTTATTAGTGCTGTTCATTGATTTGAGTAAATGTTTTGACATTTGGGTATAAAGTGTTTTAATTCTACAAGATATGGTGTAAAAACTGTGCTGCCCTCTACTGCAGTTGAATTTTCCAATTGGGAGTTGTTTCCCCATGTGACGTATGCTGGCTCTGCCAACACGCCCCTGGCACGAGCTCACCACGCCCTTCGCTAGCATTGTCCACATCGGGAGATAAGAGTGCAGTTTTAAGGCCTTTGCACACTGAAGCTGTGTCTGAAATCGCTCCCTATCCACTATATAGTGCATTATATCGGGTGTCGGCCATTTTTTAGAGGTGTCCGAGTTAATGACATCATTCCCTACATTCATTTACTACTTTTACCCACAATCCTCTCTGAATTCGAGTGCACATTCGATGTACACTTGCACTATTTCCCACAATCCAATGCGCGCATGAAAGTGCGGCGCGAGCAAGTTTAAACCAGAGATTACATCACATCCAGTGGAGGATTTGAAAAATATTCGTTAATCGTCGTTAGAAAGCGTATTAATTCGGATATAATAACAGTCACCAGAGGGCGTTCGACGACATGTCATCTGTGAGCGTGAGAGTTACAATTTCAGTCGATGAAACTACAAAGCTGGCACAGAGGTATATATATAATTACAAAAAAAAGTCATTATGATTGTTATTGTTGTTAATATTATTTTATAAAGTAAGTAACGTAAGATAAAATGAGTACGCGTGACGAAGCCTTTTCAGCGACAGCTCCAACTCTGATGCACAGTGTAAACCTCAGCGTTCGAATTCACTTACTTCATCTCATTCACTCTTTGCAGATATAGTGCACTCAAATGCCATACTATAGGGATTAGTGAATGAGTGAACGAGTATGCGTTTTTAATTTTTTTTTTGTATTTGTGATTCGGTGGCTATGAATTGTCAAAACACCATTCAAACTGCTTGCTACGGATGTAAAAAACAGTATACAATACAAATTGGGTTAGATTTTTTTTGAGAGATGAAAGTTTCAGAGGCAGTGTGCAAGCGTGATTGACATAACGTGAGGTCATATTTATTTTTTAATGTGCGAAAATTTACTCGAATTTCAGACTTTTTCGGAATTTCAGCGTGCAAGGGCCAAGGGACAATTGATAAGTGTCCAGAGACAATTCACCCTCCTCCACTTCAGGTGAAGTTGGGTGAGAATAGTCCTCTACTTCAAATGACCGCTCTGTTGCAAAGCTACTGGCATCACTTCCAGTCGCTCTCCATCTTTGAGAGTCTAACAGCTGACACTATGTCAGCACGCATTAGAATTTGAAGGCAGCAAAAGTTCATGAGGACGGAAGGTTTGAGTTCAGGCACATAGTCGACTAACTTTAATTCAGTTCATTATTTACGTGTTTTGTTCACATTTTAATTGTAATTGTATTTTATAATATTGCCTTGTTCATATTTGCCTGTTCAAACACAAAGGTCAGTGGCCTGTGCTGTTACTGCGGAGAAAACAAACAAACATGCATCTGCTTTGTGTAGTGTTGAACATGAAAAGTGATGCACAGTCTCTGTTCATTCGTCCTCTTCATAGATAAATAAATGGGTAATAATAGATTATGACCGAATTTATATGACTCTGTCTAAAGCAACCAACTGAGTTATCAGTAAAACATTGGCTACATAGCATTGCTAGTTGAAACCTTTTGGTGACAACCATTCTGCTAGCATAATTTACTTAGAAAGAGAAACATTTATTATACAGAGCATATCAGGACAGCTTCTTGCAGGACAAAGAGAAAGATGAGTTTAGAAATAACTCAGAACCGATGTGCCTGGCCCTGGACAACTTTCTTTCCATCTACAAAGCTCAGCGCTTTAAATTTTGGATTATCTATTGGAAAATTTAGTTTTGTTCAAAAAATGCAAAAAATGATTTATTTACTAATCTTAGACATCTACTGCACTGCAAAATGAAGACTGTCAGGAAAACTATTTGAGACGCTTGCTGTGCATCCAACTTTTTGATAACTGGACAAAAAACATGGCAGCACAACATTGTGTGCTGCCAATACGACAGGGTACGTCATTACGTCCCAAAGGAGTCTGTGTATGGGGCCTGACCTAGTCATACTTTTGATGACAAAAAATGTTACAAACTATCCAGAGTAGATCTGAAAATAAATAGATAAATAAACAAATAAATAAAAAGTACTAATTTATTTTAGCAATACTAATTTTGAAAGCTAGACAACACTGTTTGAGTAGGAAAATAAATACACCTCTGGAGACAAAAATGCTGATAAAATACTAAAATGATATAATAGCCTATAATAAGATTAGGTAACAATGTGTGCGTGTACCTGGTGGAACAGGGGACTGTGTGTGACAGGAACTCGGAGAGCATTGAGACACATGCCCAAAACCATGTCATCAGGAGCATCGTTGCTGTAGCACTTACAGCCGCTGGCCAACAGCTGGACCACAGCCTCTCGACTGAACACCATCCTGTTCAATACCCAACACAACCGTGACTTCTTCTGTGCAGGACGTTTAGGGCATTAATTAATCTTAGTTCATCTTAATTTCAACATTTACTAATCCATTATTAAAATCAAAATGTTACCATTAGTTAATGCAATGTAAACTAACATTTACAAACAATATATGGCAGTATTTTAATTAACTAACATTAACAAAGATGGATTTGTGAATTTTTTTTGATTCAATCTGAGAGCTGGATCACTCCTCCATAGGCTTCTAAAGGGATCGAAACTGGCCAGCCCAGAAAAGTTAGTAGACATTGTTAAAATAGTCCGAGTGACTACAGTGACTCCTGTAGTCTACTAAACCTTGGCAAGAATACATTTTGTGCGCAATAACAAAACAAAAATAACGACTTTATTAAACTATTCATTTTCTTCTGTGTGGGTCTCTGATGTGAGATCATGAGAGCGATGTGACACATGCGTGAGAACTGAGAAGATGACACTCACGATCAACTGATGGCAGAGTGTGAAAGGTTAAAAATTCCATTTCGCGTTATTGGTAAGGCACTTTTACGTTTTTTTATGGTTTCTCACAATTCGGACATCCATGAAATGCTCACTTTAGAACCATTTTAAACACTATATCAAGACCCATCTGTGTCATCTTCTCAGTTCTCACGCAAGCATCGTGGCACTCTCGTGAACTCATATCAGAGGCCAACACAGAAGAAAATTAAGTTGTTATTTTAGGGTTTTGGACTATTTTAACGATGTCTTGACTAACATTTCTGGGCCGGCTGATGAAATATCCTTGCAGCCTATGAAGGATTGAGCCAGCTCTCCGATTCCATCAAAAATATCTTAATTTTTGTTCTGAAGATGGACAAAAGCCTTGTGGGGTTAGAACAACATGAGTTGTATTTTTGGGTGAACTAACCCTGTAACAAATGTTAACAAATGAGAGCTTATTGTAAAGTGTTTCCGGTTTGTGAATACCAGGTGGTTGCATGTGCTCTAACCCCAGAGTCACTTAAAGCTCATTTCTGATGGAACTGCTTCCAAAATATGCTAGAAAATTGCACCTCATGTGGTGCAGTTTCCAATTGTGGTTAGCGCACTTTGTCGTCATGACTATGAATTGTAAGATTAGACGTCATGAGAGTGATAACTGTTTCTATTTACACCAAATTATCTATTCATGTCAAAAATATACTTCCTTTTTGTTGTTTTGTGTTTTTTAGGCAATTTAATGAAGTGTTTTTGCCCCTGGTAGAAAATCACTGTTCTTAGGAATTTTTGTGTATTTTTTTGTAAGTGGACTTAGACTTTAAATATTGGATATTAAACTTGTGTGCAATTCCATTAAGCCAATAATTATGTAATGCAATTGCCAAAATATAATAAATGGCCGATATTAAAATCCTATATTATCTACACACATTCACGCACAGAAATCAGTTGTTTTAAATGCTACAAATGAATTTATGAATAGATATAAAAAATAGATTTATATTTGATTTACAGATTATGTTATTATTTTATTTAACTTTATTAAATTATTAGTGTGTTTGAAAATGAACTTTAAGTGAGTGTTCAACAAGTGTACGAAGGTAATCTAACAGTATGTTTACACTACAACGAGAAAAGTTTTTCCTTCGCGTTTTTCGCATACAGACAGCATTGTCAACAATCCCAGTTAAAAAGGATCTGTGAAAAAGACCAAAAAAGCTGTATCATGCATGACAGGTCAGTTTTTCACAAATTTCCATTCTTGTTATTTACATGGAGATGGAAACCATTTAAATTATTTTGTATTTTCCCCAAAAAGCATTGTCATGTAAATGAACGGCCAAAAAGCATAAACCAGTTTTCTGATTTTAGTTGAAAACGGAGCTGTGTAAATGTCCCTGAATTTGGTATTTGACCGATTTATTTCACATTAACTAATTTATTCACAATTATTCTTTTGAAGGAATCCAATAAAACTCATTGTCACTCAATGAGTTAAGTAAATATTGTTAAAACGGTTGTTTTCCTCGTAAAGCAGACACTTACCCCCCACCACCAGTGATGTAACTGTATCCTCCCTGACCCAATCCGTACCCATAGCGCTCTCCCAGACACACTGGCTCACTGGAGTCATAGCAGCTCAGCAAGGCCTGCAGTCTGGGCAAGCTGTGAGAAACAACATATTATGATTCCTTGTAAAACCATGCAATTTCCTAAACAAAAGGCATATGTCGCCTGGATGTACACAAACAGACAGCCTTACCTTATAAGAGTATCATCATCTACAATCAACAGCCAATCGGTTTTGGGCACATGACTGCTCAAAAATCTTCTTAAAATGGCGAATGTTTTCCCACAGTGACCTGGAAACAGATAGATATGGAATCTTGTTTCAGCCCAAAATAAATAAATAAAAGGTAATTGTGACACGTTATCTCACAATTTTGACTTTTTTTCTTACAATTGCAAGTTTACATCTCACAATTCAGACTTTTTTCCTCTCAGAATTGCAAGTTTTTATATTGATAGAATATCGACTATAAGTCTATAAGTAGATTATTTTATTCCCCACAGATTTGTGTGAATATTATCTTGGAATTGTAAGAAAAAAAGTCATATATAATCTAATCTTGCAATAAAAAGGGTAATTTTTACATTTTATCTCACAATTTTGATTTTTTTTCTCTCGACAAAAAATTCTGACATAATTTTTTTCCCATTCCTAGTCTATAACTTGCAATTCTGACGTTTTCTTTCAGAATTAAGAATTCAGAAAATAAAAAAAAGTCATAATTGTGAGATAAAATACTCAGAATTAGCTTTTTTATTCTGTGACAGTATTAAAAGTAAATAAAAGTACATAATTTGCTTTGGGAACGTGCAAGAAATGTCAGCGAGCACCTTCCTGAACTTAATTTCTTCATTTCTAAACGTCTTTCATCAGATACTGTGCGTCGTGTAAGAGCTTTACAACTCAGCTTTTCACCTCAACGCTGTCATTCAGCTGTCAGAAAAGAACTGCAAATTAATGCACTCCTGTCCATCCACAGGCTGAATGAGAAATGCAATGAGGACAGAACTCTATATCTCCGTTATGTACCCTTTGGATAAGTACTGCAGACGTGATGTAATATCAGCTGGAAATGTATTCCTAAGCCAGATATTTTTTGCTTAAGAAGGTTCCCCAAAGAAACTGCAATGGTGACAATAATGCGAGATAAGCACGAATGTGGCAGCGACAATGAAGGCTAAGGGAAGAGAGCAGAACAGGATGTGCTGCTGTCAGACTGCACAGGGAGAACAGGGCCCCCTTCACAACAAATATCAGGGGCCCCTGTAATGTGCCAGCCACCGGATAGTTTGCAGCCACCAGTTAAATCCGCCCTCAAGACAACGATGATGGGAACAAGAGTGACACAACATATAATCTAAAATGTATAAGTTTAAAAATGGCACAAAACAAAAGAGTTGTGCAAAATTCAGAAGTTGCTCCCTTACAATTCATACAGTAAGTGTGAATTGAGCTGAAAGTTGAACTGGATTTGAACTGGAATGACAGGAACAGGACTGAACACCTTGATTGGCCTGGCTGTGTAAATTGGAGCATTGTCCTGCACGAAAAACCAATCCTTCGAGTTGGGGAAGGAAGCAATTTTTCTTTCAGAACAATCTTGTACACCTATGCCAGATTTTAGCCATACTGAAGAACCACCAGATCAACACCAATCCTCCACCAAATTACAAAGTGGTGCGAGAGAATGTGGGTTGTAGGCATCTCCAGGTCTCTGTCTAAAAATTAGAGGACCAGGTTATTGGGTAAAGATGAAAACTGGACTCCTCAGAAAAGATCAGAATCAGGAAGATCTGTCTTTGTGAAGGACTTGTGACTCAAACCATATACAATATAATCCTGGAAGAAAACATGCCTCCCAATCTAGAAGGATTGGTCAGACAGGCCAATCAAGGTGTGGATGGAGGACCACCAGATCAAGACCCTGTCATGGCCATCACAGACCTGAACCCCACTGAAAACCTCTGGAATGTAAGTAAATAACTGCTCTAATTGACAACATTTTTATTTGAAATTTGGAAGAAATGTTGTCAGTAGTTTGTTGAATAAATAAAAAATCTTGCTTTTTGAAAAAATAAAAAATCTTAATTTTCTGTATTATTAATAGATAGATTGACAGAAACAGTAGATATACTGTAGTGACAGTTACTAATGACTTTTTCATCCCTCTTAACTTTAAATACAGTGATATACAGCCTCACTTTAAACGCAAGAATCTGCATTTGATTTGGCTCTGACATCTATTGAGATTAAGAGAGAGGATGAATTTAATCAATTGAAGAGGGTTTATAGTCACAGACATTAGTCCCTAGCCAAATGAATATCATTATGAATAAACAAGTAGAGAGAACAGAGGAACAGAATGTGCCAAAAGCATTTTAGAACATAAAACAAAAGGGAGAAGGTAATCAAACGAAAGATGACCCATTGGAGGTACTTCAAACAAAGTTTGAATGTTAGAAAAAAAAGTGTGGTTCTCATTGGACTAAACACCACCAAATTCACTTCAGCATTATGAACACATTCGCATAGGTCACCAGTGACAGACTGCCATGGAAGTCCAGCTTATCAGCTTGTGGGTTGGTAGCGCTGAAAAGAGATTTATAGAGAAATTGTACTGTAACACAGTATTTACTATCCGCTTCTTAAATTAACTAGGGCTGAAAAATATCTGATGATTCTAGATTTTCCCAGAAAAGAATATGATCAGACATTTTTAATCATTCCAGCTAGCGTCACAACATCTGAGATTTACAACAAACATGATCTAGAAGTCTTATGCATTCACATCCATATTACACCTCTATACAAACCGTCCTTAGAATCAGAGTCCCAAAAATTTTAATAAAATACTGCACTGTAAAAAAATATTGTTGGATTAACTTAAAAAATGAAGTAACCTGTTTGCCTTAAAATTTTAAGTTGATTGAACTGGAAAAAAAGTAAGTTAATACAATGAAGGAGATTAATTTAATCATCAGAAACTCAAAATAATAAGTTATCTCAACTAAATGAATTATTTAAGTTGATTTGACAAAAGAAAATATGTTGTAATATTAAATCTTGAAAATATTTTTATATTGAGTGCTAAACTTTTTCTATACATGTTAGAGGTCTTGGCCTTCTCAACAGTTAAAATCATAACAGTACATTACTATTTTTTTACTATATTACATTTTTTTGTAGTAAAAGCTATTTTAGTCATTTTAATGGCCTTCTGCATGCATTACATGCTATTTAAATATTAATAATATAAAAAATACATAAAAATATTGTATTTAAAATTGTGACAATGAGTAGCATCGCAAGGTTAAAAAACCCTGTTACAGTAGCTATTCTAGTTGTTGGTGTTATTATTCTAACTTTTTTAAATAAAAAAAATAATATCTATACTATTTAACATACTGCTCAAACATTTGGGGTCAGTACGATTTGAAATAATTTTGAAAGAAATTGATGCTTTAAAAGGATGCATTAAATTGATCATATTTAATGTTCTAAAATATTTCTATTTTAAATAAATGCTGCTCCTTTGAACATTCTTTACTTAAAAAAAAAAATCACGACATCAACAAAAACATTAAGCAGCATAACTGTTTTCAACATAGAAATATGTCTAGCAGCAAATCAGCATATTAGAATGATTTCTGAAGGATCATGTGACATTGAAGACTGGAGTTATGATGCTGAAAATTCTGCTTTACCATCACAGGAATACATTACTTTTTAAAATATTATATTAAAATAGAAAACAGTTATTTACAATTTTAATAATACTTCAAAATATTACTTTTTAATGTGTTTTTGGTCAAATAAATGTAGCCTTGGTGATCATAAGAGACTTCTGTCAAAAACATTTCCAACACCAAACCTTTTAATGGTGAATTTATACCCAAAATTTGGAAAGTGCACCAAAATTTGGAAAGTGCCAGTGACAGTTCGACTATGAGTGCAGTACCTAAGATTGAAATTCCAATAATTATTTCAATTATAAGATTATTTCCAATAACAGACACTGATCTCACGTCATGAATATACCAAGTATGAGAACAGATTTGAGCACTCACCCCTTTCTGTGTTTGGGACTCCCAGATTGATGGTCGGTATAGAGGGATCTGCGTAATCGCTGTAATACTCCAGCAGTGCGGCTTGTTCACCCCATGTTTTCTTCACCACAGGAACTGTTGGGAATAGAGAATCAATCAGGTACTTCAACACATGAGAGATAACTCCCACAATCCTCAGACCACTGCTTTATCTCCTAGGGCTGACAATGATCAACATGTACTATTAAAGATTTTGGATATCATTTTTTTTTAATATTGGGGAATAAAATGTTACCCTAATGAAACTGGTTGGTGGCATTTCAAAACTGTGAATACATTTTGTAAAAAAATAATAGAATTCATATTTCTCATTTTAATTGTCTTATCTTATAATTTTAGTGTATAGAATGAGTAGGGCTGCGTTTTAAAGGATGACAAAAAGTAAAATGTCAAGACACATTTGTAACTATGAAATTTGCTATAACTGTAATGTAATGCTTCATTTACAACAGGACTTTACCAATTATAATTGAAGGGGAAATATCATGTTCTTCCCAATGCCATCTGCAAAACTCTTCAAAGTGACTTGCAAGATGTAATTATGATAATCAGAGCAATTAGATACAACTGATGTGTCAGATGGTTCTCTGAATTCAAACTCCAACACCTTATCTGTCTCGTTAAATTTGAATTAATGCCTAGTTGGTACTTAGCAACTACCCAGTGTTGCCATGAAGGGCTCTAATAGTGGAGAGAAGACTGGAGTGATGCCCACTCGGCACTCGGACAAAAATATCTCAGTACCAAGTTGCTTCGGAGGTCAAATATTGATGCAAGCTGAACTGTTAAAGCGAAAGAAAACGTTGGACTGTATCATTAGCGATAACAGTGGTGTGAAGCGAGGATGGGCAGGGTTCATCGTGCCATCCGCAAATTTTGGGTGGGATGCTTGAGAGGGAGGCGGCAGCTATGTGTTAAGAGTGTGGATTATAAAGGACGTATCACTGACCTCTGTCAGAATGGAACTTCTTACAAGTTTTCACCGCTACAAAGATGTTTTCACAATCAACAGGCTGGCCCTGGGGACACAGGTGAAGAGAAAGTGTTGACAGATTGCATAATAAGAACACCCCATGTAAAGTGTTTTTTTTTTCTTCAACATAAACAGACACTGAATTGGCAATAATTGTGCTTTAAAAGTAAGAAAGTTTAGTACACCTCTACATTTACCACTATATCAAGGCCTAAAAAATAGTATTGTGTTCAAACTAGGTTAACCACAATAAATGAGGCAGCACTTTACATGGACCTCAATAACCTGAATGGGTTTGATCATACGCATTGAAATACACAGTATCGTCATGCTAAGCAGTGTTGATATTGTCAAGAATAAAACTATTCTTTTATTCTTGACAATAAAACTATAAAACTTGACAATAAAACTACTATAAAACTATTTGTTTTCATTGAAATAAAGTTTGGAAAAAGTACTGATAACAGAAATCGTTTAGATTGAAGTTTTAAAATGACTAAAACTGAAACTGAAATAAAACTAAATTAAAGCTAATCAGAACATTAAAAATGTATAGAAATTCTATCTATCTATCTATCTATCTATCTATCTATCTATCTATCTATCTATCTATCTATCTATCTATCTATCTATCTATATCTATATCTATATATATATATATATAAACATAGGAACTCTTTGCAAGTAAGCAAATAAATAAAACTATAATGTCTCAATTTAATGGATGAATTATTCCGTACAGGCCATAAAAGTTTATAGTATATATTTTTATTCCAGAAAAAAAGATATATATTATATTTTAATTATATATATATATATATATATATATATATATATATATATATATATTATAATAAAAAATTATATAATTTTTATTTTTTGTAAACTAGGACATTATTTTGCTGCTTATTCCTTGTATTTGTGACAACAGGTCACTGTAATTTGTCCACTGCTCACCCTAACATATGCGTAATGCTTAATTTGCCACCTTGAATCACAACAGGTGTTTACAAACCATTCAAATCATCAGAGTATCATACTTACAATGTGATTTGAAGTTACTGGCCAAGTCTATTTACTTAAACTGTATACTTCTTGTTATTTCTATACATGCTTTAAAATCCTCAGACTGGAATAAAGGCAACAGAAAACATCTACCCTTCCAAACCAAACTTTTAACACTTTCAACAGACACAGCAGTCCAACTTATTTTTGTATTATATTAATGTGTGTTTTTTCGTGTATTTCTGATTAAGTTTTTGGGTCTAAATCCGAGGAGAGCATGCAAAGGCCTGAAAATCATAGCTCTGAGATAAGAGCGCTCAGCGCTGATTCAGGGAGATATTGCTTTGATCTGAGCAAGCTGTGAATAAACACCAGAAGATTACGGATGTTGAAAATGTATCGGGGCAGGAGACGAGCTGATAAACAACCCGATAAAGTTCGCACATTTTAGAATAATCTGCAGTTAAGATGTCTGTTGATATCATGCTGAAAATAGGCATGGTTATTTCAAATATTGACGCATGTGAACCCGCACACACGCAGTGTAACATTCACAATTGTCTGTATCTCAAAAAGAAAGTTACAAAAATGGAAATAAGGAGGTAAAATAGCCTCAAGCACAGCAGCTTGTGAATTATGTAATATAAAAAGTGGTACTTAAAATCAATGAGATTTTAATGGTTCATAATGGTTCACAGATGCTTTAATGCACTTGATGGTGACACAAACGGCCCAACCTCACAAATTCATAGTCATTTGCATAAAGTTTGAAGCGTAACAATTATGCAGTGAACACATGGTCACTGTCTTTAGACTGAAACAGGATGAAATGACCAGCAATAGATTACAATAAATGGATTTTTAATATTTGGTTGGGATCAAACCCAGAAGTTCAGTCTGAATTATTATACCTTAATTATATCTTAAATCAGTTTGAGGGGGCAAATATTTGACAGTGGTACATGGTAATAAATATAAAACACTCTTCATCTCTGACTTTGTTCAAAGTTTTATTTCAAAGAGTATTTGAATCTATATTGGTCTGCACTTCTCATCAACATAGCCTAAATGGATTTGCTCCACACTGTACAGCGTTGCCACACAGATTTTAATAGTTGGTCAGCAGTTTGACAAATATCCTACATTACCTTCTAGGTATAATTATGGGTGCAGATGTGAAGTAAATGAATATTTATGAGATAAACTAATATTTCACAGCACGCATAGGTGAATTTATGTTTACACAGAAGAAAGCTTTGTCTAGGCTCTGCCCCAGTACGGTTTGTGCCAAGTCATTAATCTGGTTGTTTGATGAGAAAGAGGTGAAATGTTGCAATAAATGCTTTAAAGCTACACTGTGTGATTTTTACCCCCATCTAGCAGTGAAAAGGTATATGACCATCCAGTGAACATTAGTTTCTGTTCCTCTCAATTCCGATTTCGTTTTAACTCCTACGGTGGCCAATGTAGTCCAAGATTAACATGGCTTCCAGTTTGACCTCGTCCATGAGTGTTAACACAAACGTAAACGCGAAAGGCGAAGCTTGAATTAACGGGTATGTCCCTCTTTGGCTAATGTACTTTCAAGATGGAGGTGCAACATGGCGACCGACATTAGAACCCCTTTCCCGTATGTATTTTCAATGGCATATTATACACTCACGAGAATACTTTATTACTTGAACGAAGTAAATATACATTAATGAGCACATATATTTTTGAAGGAACTAAGTGTTTTTAGCTAAGAATAAACTAAGAGAGTTACACAGTGTAGCTTTAAGAATCTGTACAGCTGAAGAGCGGATGACTATTATTCTGTCAGGACCACTATTGTCAAAGATGATTGATTGGATTGGCAGTATGGTTCTGTTCTGGGCAAGAACTAGAGCATCAATAATCCTCTTTGGAGTAAACAGAACAGAACCAACATGAAATGTATTGCAGATATCATTAATGTCAATGTTTCAATGTACAACATAATTTGAGAAATTATTCTGATTCAAAGGGAAATCATGCCAAATCCTAACTGACAAGAGGATGAGCTGGGGATGGAGGGTAAATGACATGATGTGAAACGGCATAGCTGCTGATAATACTGAAAGAGCTTATATACTGTATGACTACTGATAGACGTCGTATTCCTATAGGTAGACGTGGATCAGCTGATGCGAGCTTGACTAACGTGAACAGCCAAAACTAATGTTACGATTGATTTCTGTAGCGCAAAAACTGATGATGGCACGGTTTGATCTTTGGTTGACCAATCAGTGGAAAGGGGCGTTTAATTCCCACCCATGTAGAGATAGAATATTCAAGTGGTTTATCCATTTTGGTTTTATTGTGTATTATTTTGTTTATTTAGGGTCATATAAATGAACGATTTCTTTGTTTTCCCGTTTTGAAGAGATAAACTAGAAAAATAATCTAAAGGTACACAAACCAAACCCTGACACTGACTGAAACTCCATTTCATTTACCCATTTAGCAAACGGTTTTATCCAAAACCTATATCCAGGACAAACCAAATGAATCACTAACAGGGGGGAGAACAAGTATTTGATACACTGCTGATTTAGCAGGTTTTTCCACTTACAAAGCATGTAGAAGTCAGTAAATGTCTTAAATTGTGTGCACCTGCCCGGGGACTGCGGATGAAAATTAGCTTCGGCCAACTCTGGCACAAAGCATCTCTTCGCAAGACTAATGTATTTTGTGCATTGTCCCTGATAAATAAATTAAGGGAAAAAAAAGAAAAAAATGTATCATAGTATGTGATACAGAAAAGCAGACCCTACAGAAACCTTTGTTTGCAGTTACAGAGTTCATACGTTTCCTGTAGTTCTTGGCCCACTCCTCCTTACAGACCCTCTCAGATCCTTCAGGTTTCAGGGCTGTCACTGGGCAATACAGACTTTCTGCTCCCTCCATAGATTTTCTATTGGGTTCAGGTCTGGAGACCTAGGCCACTCCAGGACCATGAAATGCTTTTTACAAAGCCACTACTTAGTTACCCTGGCTGTGTGTTTCAGGTTGTTGTCATGCTGGAAGACCCAGCCTTAACCCATCTTCAATGCTCTTACTGAAGGAAGGAGGTTGTTGGCCAAGATCTCGCAATACATGGAGCAGTTGTCCTGTCCCCTTGGCAGAAAAGCATCCCCAAAGAATGATGTTTCCACCTCCATGCTTCAAAGTTGGGATGGTGTTCTTGTGGTTGTACTCATCCTTCTTTTTCCTCCAAACACGACGAGTGGAGTTTAGACCAAAAATGTCTCTATTTGTCTCATCAGACCACATGACCTTCTCCTATTCCTCCTCGGGATCATCCAGATGGTCATTGGGAAACTTTACACAGGACTGGACATGCACTGGCTTGAGCAGGGGGACTTTGCGTGTGCTGCAGTTATTTAAAAATAATACAACGTGATTATCTGGATGTTTGTTTTAGATTCCACCACTCACAGTTGAAGAGTACCTATGATAAAAATGACAGACTTCTACATGCTTTGTAAGTGGGAAAACCTGTATCAAATAATTGTTCTCCCCACTGTAAAGCAGTGTCCAGTCTCAACACAAATCGTGACAGAAGGTTAGCACTTTCACCCCAGTCAGCCTTCTCCACATACTGATGAGGTGCGTGTGACAAGTGTGTCGAGCACTCGATGTGGAGGTTACCTACACACTGTGGTGAATGGCTTCTGACAGTGGTGGCACAGTTTTGTGCTCTTGGATTTTCCTCTGACAGTGTGCAAAGTTCTGGAACACCTGTTAGTCGAGGTCCCTTTCCATCCTCCCAAATGTACAGCGCCACCTGTAGGAGAGTAATAATGGAATGAAATGCATCACTTTTAAATAGAAACTAATTCTTATTGCTTTAGAGCAAGTAATAATAATAAATCAAACTAATTTTGATTTTGAAAAATGCAGCCTTGGTCAGCATAAGAAACTTTGAACGATAGTGCAGGTATAACAGTAATATTGTTGCAGTGTTCGTTTTGTTTCTAGAATGATGGTTTTCCACTGTTTTAACGCACTGTTTTTCTTAATGGACACTTTAATGTAATCTAAAATTATACAAAATTTTAAATAATAATATCAAGTGAGCCCATAGTCATCTCAAAATATACACCTTCAACATTCTTACCTCATGTTTTAGATCTATGGTGAAGTCTGATTTTAAAGGCTCATCTTCCATTTTGCTTGTCAACCTAAATGTGAAATCACTGTAAAAATAGTGAACTACAAGGGAAATTACACAAAAAAACCTTCTCAAACATATCATTTCTAATGGCAAAATGCTAATATGAAGATACCATAGTATAATCTAAGATATAATCACTATAACAATGCAAATAATCCAGATTTGAAATCTCTTTCAGAAAAATAGCATAAATAATAAAATGGAATCATTTTTAGAATTTAACTTAAACCAAATCTATAAAAAAAACATCATACTGGAAGACTTGATCCCTGGATCTGCTTTGTGACACTTAGTTAGTCAGTTCAGCTGAGGGAAGCATTCAAACCTGTTGACAAGAGGGATACTAAGCGCCCATCCTGCAGAGAAGTCTGGGTACTCGAAAGCCAATGGGTTCTCAGAAAAGGCATAATGGTGGATGATGGTGGACTCTTCATCATGGAGTGCCTTGCCAAGAAACCACTCCTGAGGGCAAAAGTGGAGATTAATGACACCGTGATTGTCATCTCAGGCTAAATCACACCTTAACAGCTGCCACCAGTTCATATGACACTGCGCATTACAGTCTCAAACGTTTTTTTTTAACTAACTTTGCTTCTGTTTTCACAGTCAATCCTGCACTGTACATTTTGCCATAGGTTAATGATAATGACAAAAGCAAACTTATGTAACAAATTTATTCCAAGATAAGTTCTTCCTCGTATTTTCATGTTGAATGTCATGTTGCACTGTACAAGCGACTCATCATAATGTAGTTTACATTATGGTGTTGTTTTGAAAAGGGTCCGGTGAACTGATTTGAATGAAGTGGAAACCAAGTCACTTGTTTACTATGGCAGCTGTAAATGGCTTCTGCTGTCAAATTTCATTAATATGAAAATTGTAAAAAACTGTAAGAGAGAAATGGTCAAAAAGTATATGTGCGAGTATAACATATACAGTGGAAAATGGCAGGTGGCATATGTCAGGTGAAAAAGATTAATTCATTGAATTATAAGTAGTGGAGTTTTTGCTTGGTAGTCTATTTATAGTATTTTTTCAGAATAACAAGCCACAATTACATGAATATGACTTCTGGGGTATGACGTATTTTGTGATTTAATGTGATTTCAGTTAAAAGGATTTTAACATTGATAAAGTAGTGTCTTGGAGAGTCTTTCAAATGCATATGCATACACAATACATCTTTTAATTTTTCTATGACAAGATCAATGTAAGTCAGCTTTTAGTATTAAGTGATTATACTCTTGAGCAAGGCATTCAAAACAATTAATGTTGTCTAAAAAGTATAAAAAGCATTAAAGTTTCATATCATAATAGAAATACTGTAGATGTGCCAATTCAAAATATATTGGTCATTTATTTAAACAGCATCAGTTTCTGACACCAAAGAGAAGAAATTGTTGAATAAAGTCGTTATTTTGGGATTTTTTTTTCCTCGCAAAAAGTATTACCTCGACCACTTTTGATTTCATCAAAAATATAATTTTTGTTCCGGAATGAAGGTCTTACTGATTTGAAATGACATGAGGGTAATTAATTACAGAAATTAAATTTTTGGGAGAACTAATTCTTTAAATTCATGATGAGCATGAATATCTACAGGAATGATTATCCCCTTACAGGGATTAATAAAGTTTTCTAATCTAATCTAAAAAAAAAAAAATCCTCGTTGAACAGCAGGATGGAATGTAGGGACTGTAAGTACATCAATTACACAGTGCTAAATGTGACATTATGAAAAGTTCTTACTTTTCTGCGGTCAAATTTTTTGAGGACTTTATTAAGTTTATGGAGTTTCACTCTGGTGTCCTCCTCCAGAAACATGATCCAAGAAGAGTTCTTCCCAAACTGTGATGACAAGCTAAGGGGAAAAATATTCTGCATTAGCAAAAGTTTAAAAACCAGTTATTATAAACAGAAAACACAAACATTCATTATAAGTCTGTGCATTAGTGGTGGAGAATTTTGAATTGTTTCTGCAAGCAACATTGTTACAACGGTAGGTAGCGACATGTGTCTTATAAATGAGTCACTGAATCGTTCAACAAATTCGTTCAAAAACCCTGATTCATTCACTCAAACAATTTGTTTTGATTCAGTCAGGAATAAAATAAGTGGCTGCATCTGAAATCACATACATCCCTAATATACAACAGGCGAAAAACAGTATATGAAAAAATAAGTTTGTCCAAATTCACAGTACTCAAAGAGTAGGGTAAAGTCCCCAGATGACCACCTACTTCCGTCAGGACTGTGAAGTGAACATACAATGAACACTTTACTATCCCATGAGGCCACAGGAGAGGATTATGAATTGCAGTAAAGCAACACAACTGACGCTGATAGGTCACATGATAATGACAACATGGCCAATATAGTATGTCAAGATTACATTCTGTGGCGAGCAGGACGAGGCTGAGTGACATGAGAGAGCGGCGTGAGTGATAATGAACGACACCTGTGAGACGCAGGTCCCGCGCCGCTCTCTCACAGAGAAGCGGAAGCATAAAGGAGAAGCGACGACAGTGAAGATGGAGAGAGGAACAGGCCTGATTTTATGTTGTGCTTTGTTTCTGTTTTGTGTAGCCAGCAGTCGTCCGCAAGGGGCTGCCGGCTTATAATTTAATTTTGTATTTGTTTATTTATTTGTTCAAATGTTCGCCGGTTCCCCATCCTTCTTCCCAAAACAACGAATTCCGTTAAAACACACACACACACATTAAAACTATATAGAAGATACTTTTTAGCACTCTAAACGTCAATACTTGAGTTAATTACTTTTGCCTACTCAAATATGCGATTTCAGATGCAGCCCAGTGACTGTTCTTGTAAGTGAGTCACTGAATCTTTTACTCAACTGATTAATTCAATGTACCGATTAATTCAAGGACAACCAGTGTGTGTTGCCAGTTGATTCTGGAGTTGATTCTGCAGTGGCTTTTGAAACCATTTTATTTTGAAGGGTAAAAATACATAAAGTAACTGGCAAAAGTGATTGTAAAATGTAACTCCTTATGAAATATTTATATTATAACAATTAATATTTTATTTTAATTCTAACAATACTACCAGTATTAATACTACTACTGCTAATAATTATAACTATTATTTTTACATTTATAACATCAATAGTTAAAGCTTATAGAAAAATTATAGATATTCAATCAGTACTACAATTGAATTAACCCTAGGAATAACCTAATTCAACCTTTAACACTGAGATTGAGATTTCACCATGTTGAATGTCTGTAATGTCTAGTATTTTCAGCACTTACTAAGGCAGCAGTGGGAGAATGCTCCAGTCTCCCTCATTGTCTGACAGTGTGTGCAGGAGCAGGATGACAGGGGGACTCTGAAAGAGACAAACACTCTATTACAGCTACTGCCATACGAAGAGAAAATGGGAGGAAACCATGAGAACTGCCAGCTATCAAGTGAGTTTATCTGATTTGAGACAGCAGTTTACTTTCAGGACAACAGCCAGCAAAATCATGACTGGACTTCAAAGAGAGAACAGAAGAGTGATTTAAGAGAAGTTTAAGACACACACCTCAATGTTTTTGAAAAAAAATATTTCATCCTCACCAGGGCTGCATTTATTTGGTAAAAAAAGAAATAAAACAGTAATATTGTGAAATATTATTTAAATAACATATATTTTTAAAATGTATTCTTGTGAATTTTCAGCATTATTACTTATTAGTCTTCAGGGTCACATGATCCTTCAGAAATCATTAAAATGCTGATTTTCTACTCAAGAAACATTTCTTATTATTATCAACGTTGAAAAGAGTTGTGCTGATTAATATTGTGCCGATTAATTTTTTTGTGAAAACACTTTCATAGAAAGTTAAAAAGAACTGTATGTATTTGAAATATAAATAATTTAACATTATTGTTATTATTATTAATTTACTTTCACTTTTAATAATTTTTATCACTTTTAATTATTTAAAGGGGTGTTTGATTACGATTTTACTTTTCTAAACTTTAGTTAGTGTGTAACGTTGCTGTTTGAGCATAAACAACATTATCAAAGTTACAACGCTCAAAGTTCAAAACAAAGGGAGATATTTGCTTTTAAAGAAATCGTTTTTAAGGACTACAACAAACGGCTGGCAGGAACTACACCTCCCGGCTTCCTCCCGGGTTAGTGACATCACTAACCCTCAAATTTCCATAAACCCGCCCCCCAGGAACACACAGTCCATGTTGAGAAGAGGAAGAGATGTAGTTAAGCACATTTGTGAGTCAGCTCAAACTTTGACCTTCAAACTTTCAAACTTTGAAAGTCACTCTGTGTGCATCTCACAACAGTTCTTATATGAGCGATTTATAGATTACATGACAGGATATCTTAATTGAAGATAGTTAACTCCACATTATTAACATAAATTCATCAACTAACCATTCAGAAATGTCCAGTTGGATTCTACATGTTGTCTCCTCTTAGTATCTCCATCTTTGTCTGAGTCCGGTTTAAACAAAAAAGGCAGAACAGTTTCTGACATTTAAGCATGTCTGTGTCAGGTAATCGGAGCTGCTAACACACACACACACACACACACACACACATAGAGGAGCTCTTGAAGCTCAGCCCAGCTGCAGCTCATTTGCATTTAAAGGGCCAGACACAAAACGGTGCCTTTTTGCTAACCCTAAAAAAGTGACAACGTGCTATATAAAAATATATGTGGGGTATTTAGAGCTAAAACTTCACATACACAGTCTGGGCACATCAGAGATTTATTTTACATCTTGTGCTTGTTGAATAAAAATATAAAAAATTTTTAAAACAAAAACTACTCACCCCAAACTTTTGAACAGCATAGCGCGTTGGACATTACTATTCTCATTAAATTAGAATGATGATAGACGACTAGATGATAGACTTCACACAGTTCATAAGTTTAAATGGCTCTTAAGAGACTAAACTTTTGTAGTTTCGTTTCACGACTCCCATATCAGTTAATATGCTAAAAAAAACGAAACAAAGGAGATGTGCTACTTAAAATTGCTCGCTCACTTCACATTAGCCACACTTATCTCACTCATATTACAACCAAACTTTTGAATTTTAGTAAGTCACCTAAAGGGCCTTAACTTATAAGATTGCATAAATGAACACAGAGCATTATATTATTTTTAATCAGATTGCAGTCACACACTTTCTGTACAGGTCTAATAATTGGAATAAATTGTAGAAAATGATGAAATTGGACAATTACGCCATCAGCCTGTAGAGAATCATAACATTGAGCTATAAAAGTGTTCTATATGCAGTACAAAAAAGGTTTTCAACATCCAATCAGCACTAACATTTTTTCCCCAAGTCAATTCACATTGTGATTTGAATAGGAGTGACAATGAATCAGATAAGAGAGTGCTTATGTTCAGTACCCCTTAATACATTCACAAATGTGCTCACAAAATGTTATTCTTATCTCCAAAGAAAGATACGAATGACTGCGAACTTTGAGACACCCATTGTGTCTTGATACAGCTCATTAGGATGTGACCAGAAAAAAGGGGTTTGTGATCACACTCTGACTAAAGATGTGGGGGTCGGTGTGACCTTGCTACCTTATGTTACCACAGATATGATTGCCCTGGCTCAATCACGTGGCACCCAGAGACCAGGAAGGTGAGAAATTACCACTCGATTCTTAAAAGTCTCTGATCTGTCCGTCCTATATGTCATATGAAAAGACAAAAGCAAAAAGAGACAATGCAATTTGAATGTTAACTCATTGGTAAAGAAATTCTATCACCAAAAAATTCTTCCTTTTGATTTAACGGTTCAATAATAAACCTTTGCGCTATACTCACAGGGTGCCATTTTGTTTGTGGAAAATGTCTTTTAATCTAAACATACTTTAATGTCAGGCTTTGGGTGGAATATTGCCTTGAGAGAAAATGACAAGTCTTACCAAATTGTTTTATTTATCGTCCATCTAAGCTTGGTCTAAGAACTTGACTGATAGTTAAAAAAAAACACTTACATTATTACATTATAAATAAGATTGTCATGATCATCATAATTTTGCCCAGCAACAAAAAATAAATCAAAGCAGATAATGGTCAATATACCCATTTTGTTTTTGTGTGATTTGGGTACTTAATGTCATAGAATACAAGCCAGCAGGAAGCATTCAAACAATATTTTAAAAAGCTGCAAGTCAGGTCAAACTAATACTTATTTATTATGAGGATACATTTTAGTTGTGAGGTCAGGTTAATTTATCTAATGTTCTCTGCACATTCAGCCTGATTACCATAGAGAAAGGGACAAACATATTATATTATAATGTTCTGCTAAAGAGTGCTGGTCTGTGTATCAGTGTAATTAATTAGGGCAAAATTAAGCTAATGGATGAAACTAATTACAATCTCCCCACTATCTGTAATGAATTATCCAGTCTTTTCCAAGTCATTTGCAATTGACCTATGGCCCCTCCACTCACTCGGACAAACAGTCAACATTCGCGCATGGGCGCTATGACAGGTGTCACAGTAAGAGACATTTCACAGGAGGCAATTGCTGATTTTTGGAGACAGAATGATTATATATCATCTCAAAGTCACCTAAAGGGCCTTAACTGGAGGGTTGCATTGGAGGCATTGGACAATGCATTGGACGGTTATATTAATAATTTTATTGTTGAGAAGGTCAGTCAATGAAAAGCTTCAGCTCCAGGCAAAAATGTACAGGTCACAGTGTAAACGTGATAACCCCACATATCGTTGCCATCACCGTTTGGTTTGCTACAGTATTTACATGAATCATTCAGCACAACATTGTTAACATTTGTTATCTCGGTTATTTACAGATACGTTAATGAAGCTAACTGACATGATGTACAGCACAGCTAGAAGCTAACGTCAACGTTTTCTAATGTTAGCTTAACTTTTATGTTCAAATAAGATACCGCTCAAAAACGTTGTTGACTTAACTTAAAACAGATGTAGACATCCTTAATTTATCCACGTTTAGTTGGTGCTGTGGTCTACCGCATAACTTAATCGTATAACTTAATCCAGAGCAGACAGTTATCACGAGGCTGAATCTCAGTTGAGACGTGGCTTGGGAAAGGGTTGGAGTCGGAGTTGTGTTGGATTTGGAGTTGCATGTGCCCCATGCACACCGTTGACCATTTTAAACTTAAAACGACAAGAAAAAAACGAATGAATAAATGATATAAATGCATACATGAGGGTGAGTAAACGGGATCTTGGGGTAAACTGTCCCTTTAACTCAAGAACTGAATAATTAAATGAGAGAGTCTTACTACAAATGCACAATACAACAAAATCAAGCAATCTTTTTAGATATAAAACTGCAGTAAGAGGAATACATTTGTTCAGACAACGAGTTTGCTCTTAAAAACACAAGATGCAGGACATTGAAAATAAGGAGGCACAATCGTCAAAGACGTCAAAATTCTCACACCTCTTGAACTAGTTTGACAAATTTAAACTAACCGAATTGATCAAAAGATTCATTTCCGAACTGGAAATAAGAACAATCAATTTTGTTATTTTTTACACTTTGCAGCTGCAAATGTTACGAAAGGGTCAGGACAAAAGTCTTGGGACAAAAGTATCTATTTTCTTTTTAATATGTCAAGTAAAAGTAGAAGTCAACAAAATCCTTTGTATTCAATTGTATTATTAATTGTATTCAACCATTGTCCAGGTCATATCATTTGCTGCCATTTAGTTTGCAGACTTTTGTTCTGTGTCCTCTCAGGGTTTTAGAAACGAAGAACTAACAAACTGCTGGTCTTATTGAATTTGTTTTCTGCTGTAAAAGCCCCAACTGTTCTGCTGCTGCAGCACCCCCAGAGGTGGAACAAACATCCTACAGCTTTTATAACATAACATTCATTGCTGGTTGCACACTAGGGTGTTAATGTGAGCATTGTAACACAGGGCAAGAGTGATAAATCTGAAGTCTAATTTACACTAACAATACGCTGTCAGGGTTCACAGACCAATGGAGAGGGTAAGAATTGATGTGCACATCCATGTTGAGCATGCTGCATGAGTTTTTCTCTGTGACGAATGGATGTTAGGCCTCATGAGTCCAACTAAAGAGAAACAAATTGCTCTACTGAAACAAGGATTAAGCATCAGAAATCAACCCTCTCATGTCTCAGACAAGTGCTGACATCTTGTGGCGGCAATGCATAAAGTAGCAAGCTCTATTTTCCTACAAAGGCTTGAAGGTACGAGGCTGTAACTTCCTTGAGGAACAATGAAGTTCCATATATCTGTGATGTTATCCATTCTCATCTATAGAAGCTCTCCTTTAGTCTATGGACCCTCTTCACAGACTGTGATGACGCGTTTTAACAAAACAAATATATTTCACGGTTTCTCTAATTTATTGCTATAAGTTCATCCAATAATCACAACTTCCGCTTCTGAGAAACCCAGAAATGCAAAAAGTGTCCATTACTTTAAAAGACAGTGCATTGATTATCGTCATCTCAACTCTCAAACTGTGAAGTTTAGTTATCCCCTTCCACTGGTCCCAGCAGCATTGGAGCAGCTGCGTGGAGCCTGCATCAAGTTCGATTTATGCAGTGTGTACATGATGAGCTGATGAATGGAAAACAGCATTCGTCACGCCCTCTGGTCACTACGAGTATCGAGTCATGCCCTTCGGACTGTCCAACGCCCCAGCTGTCTTCAAGGGTTACATGGACAAGGTTTTTCGAGACTATCTCAACAGATTCGTGGTTCTCTATATCGACGATATTCTCATCTACTCCTCATCTCTTGCTGAGCATCAGCACCAAGTCACTCTAGTTTTGGAGAAACTGAGAGCTCATAAACTATACCTAAAACTGGAGAAATGTGAGTTTCACACCACCACTGTGCAATTTCAACAGTTTGAGGTTACCAACGATCATCGCAATCTTTACCTGCTTTGATTTTACCATGTCATAACGACCTGGAAGCAAGAATTGCAAAGCGGATGCTCTCTCGTCGTCATCATGCTTCAACCAAAGATTCGCTACCAGAACTTATCCTCCCTCCAGCCCCATCATCTGGGACATCGATGACCAGATTTCCCAAGAGAACCTTCGTCATCCCGCTCTGCCGGGAGGTCCAGAGTTTGCACTGCATTTTTCCCACTTCATTTGTGTTCACACAGTGTTGCTAAAAAGCATCTAATCTGATATGAGATGAGAAAGATGAAAGAATATACAACACACTGCCGAACATCCATTGTACTGTGCTGTAGATCCTTTACATTTTTGCAGACTTTCAGCAAAAAGAAGAGCCTGGGAATGAAAGAAAGGAAGCAGAAGGGATATGAGCGGTCTATTAATCTGGTTTTGATTGGATCGGAGGGTGACAGCTTAGTGAACTGGTGCAGAGCTCGGAGGTTATTGTGGTTTGGCACTCCAGATTTTCAGAACAGGCAGTCAGAAAGCATTTGTCAACAAAAGCAGTAAACTATCAGGTGAGGATGTGAGGGGAGGAAGAAAATAGATTGCATTACATTTTCAGTCTCAAAGGATGGTCACTATTCTGAGAAATAAATAGAACACAGTATCAAGGGTCACAAGGGTGGAATGTTGAGGATGAACCCAACAGTTTCTCTCATTGAAATAAAGCTTTTAACATTTAAAATGTGAATCCCACTACTTCACTTAGTGAAAATGTCACTTGTCTGAAATCTGTTCTTGCCTTTCTGCCTTTTCTAAAATGAGAATTTTCAGTATATATGAAGAATAAGTAGGTGTGTTCAAACTTTTGACAGGTATTGCAAATCTGGCTTAGCAAACGTTTCATAACAGATGGGTGTAATTGTCCAGAAAGTCATGGACAAAACTGGAGCATATTTGCACAAATAATTTATCTTTGGGTTGAACTGATGAGAGTAAATTTTGTTAACACATGCCAGGCATGAGGTCAAATGGTCATGAAAAACAGAAGTGAAAATATGAATTAAAAAAATAAATATCAATACCTCTTGAAGAGCTTGTGTCTGCTGAAGAAGGTCTTTTCTTAGTTTCTCTGCCTGCTGCACATGGAAAGAGTTCCTCTGGCTCTGGATGACAAACACCACTTCTTTCAAGTCTACAACAAACAGAAAAAACTCACAATGTCATCCCCGTTAATTTGCTTCCTGCAAGGCATACCATATTTCCCATTAAGAATGATGACATTTAGGCTGAGTAAGAATTATTTTGTTGCAAAGTCAAGCATATCTATACAAAGTATTCATTATAAACTCTAAGCACAGGAAGGACATGGACATTTTTATTTTTATCAAATCATTTTAACATGTTTAAAATGTTTTTTTTTTTTTTTTTTAAGAAATTAGATGGGCACAATTATTAAAGAGGGAATAAAAACATTGTACTATGGTTAGCACATATGTTCTTCAGTTAGCGTTGAACCTTGGTGCCAGTTCAAAAGATTTTTAATGTTTTTAAGATTAAGATTAAAAAAAAACTGTTTTTATAGAGCAGAACTCTCTGGGCTTTAGGTCAAGTCCGTACAGTTATGCTACTGGGGACGTATTACAGAAACTTCCCATCTCAAGTCTCAAGTTAAGATCTGGCAAGTTCAATGTTCCAAGCGAAAGCTGAAATCACCATGGTTACAAAACAGACAAGACCTGATTTGAGATGGAGTATGTTTCTTGATCTACAATAGCTTTGTACTACATAAAAATGTAACAGCATGGTCTCTTGAATAATTCACAAAGGATTCATTTATAATCGGTTTAACAAACAAAGAACTAGCTAAGACAACCTTATTGATAAATGTGTGATAAGAGGCTTTAAGTCAAGAGTGTGGACCTGTTGAAAATGACTCGTTTGAAGGCCTGTGAATGGTGCAATTAGACTCGGATTTAACATGCTGAGACATTGATCTCACCGAATATTTCTCCAATGTCACAGTCATGGAATCTTTACATGAACTTTATATTTATCAACAAACCAGTCAGGAAACATCATATGATCATTTTCAGAATAGTGGATGGATGGGGAAAATACTTTTTTAGTGATATATATATATATATATATATATATATTAGGTGATTGAAGCTCTGTCCCCATTTAATTTCATTGTATGGATAAAAAATTAAACATTTTGTATTTGTTGAAACAACAAAAGAAGAAAGTAATACAAGATGAAAACAGCATGGGGGTATGTAAATGATTAAAGAAAAGCTATATTTGGTTGGAAACAATATTTGTGTAAAATATTATATTTAAGAAGGACAAACACAGGAAGCATAGAGATATTCAATATATATCTCCACACGATAATTATATAAAAACCATACAGCATTAGATCGTGTAATATTAGAATATTAAAAACCCTTGATGCAAGTGCAATGTAAACTATAAAGTTTAACTATAGAACAACCAGCAAAATGCACTCACTGTAACACCTACATTGAAAAAAGAAATCTGTAGGCTGGTAATGACAAAGAGAATTTAACTTCTCCCAAGTAAGAAAGCTCTGGCATGTAATAAAACCCACGTCAATGAGAAGTGTCACTTCTTTAATAAGTCTTGCAGTCACTTCATCATGAGCTGTGGTCCATGTTAGCTCCAGCTCAAACTCATGTACAAGTCTCTCTGCCAGCCACAGCACTCTGGATCTCTTTATTAGGTTTTCTTTCAAACATCCGCAGCAAAATGTGGCCATACACATAAATTATGATTAGACAGAGTTTTCTCCTTCAAGCCGTTTTTAAGCAGCTCCGAGAACTGAGGCTCATTTGTCAACCCAAACGAGACAAGGGGTATGAGGAAAGTGACAGCTTCCTAATCTTCCTCCAAGACAGGCTAAGAAAGAGTGAGAATGTGGAAAACAGCTGACATGAGCAAACAACCTATGCCTCAATCTGCTCCCTAGTTAAGTCGTAAACCTTCTTCCCAGGGTTTCAGCCGTTTCTAAGACTGTCCCATTGTCCAAGTTGTTCGAGTGCAAAGAAATATTCACTCTCTAATTTAAAAAAAAAAATACACTGTACAAACTAGTGAGCATCGGCTGCATGCTACACTGTAAAGAAAAATCCTAATTTCACAGAAAATAACCCTGGATGTGCATCCCACAAATCTCCATCAACTGAAAGATGCTATCCTATCAGTATGGGTCAATATTTCTAAAGAATGCTTTCAGCACCTTGTTGAATCAATGCCACGTAGAATTAAAGGGTTAGTTCACCCAAAAATGAAAATTAAGTCATTAATTACTCACCCCCATGCTGTACCAACCCCGTAAGACCTTCGTTCGTCTTCCGAACACAAATGAAGATATTTTTGATTAAATTTGAGAGCTGTATAACTACCACATTGGCTCCTAAAGGACTGCCTCTTGACGGCCCAGAAAGTCAATGAAGAAAATGTTTAAATATCCCAAGTGACTACCGTGGCTCAACTATATGTTTATCAAGCGACGCGAATACTTTTTGTGCGAAAAAACAAACAAAAATAACGAGTTTATTTGACTATTTCTTTTCTTCCTTGTAGGCCAGAACGAGACTTCCTTAGATTTCCACAACGCATGCGCGAGAATTGCGATCTGCTTACACCAGCTTACACTACTTCAGATCGCAATTCTCACGCATGCGTCGTGGAAATCTAAGGAAGTCTCGTTCTGGCCTACAAGGAAGAAAAGAAATAGTCAAATAAACTCGTTATTTTTGTTTGTTTTTTCGCACAAAAAGTATTCGCGTCGAGTTCTGAAAAATGGGGGCCATTTTAGTACAGTGAAGTTTTATTTGCATTAATGCTCCTAAATGCATTTTACAGGTCGCACCGATCTATTTTTATTCGCAAATACAAATTAAATGCTCGCTCTGTTGAGCCCTGTCCCTGTTTACACCTGTTGTCCATTTGCTATTTAATAAACAGGGCATAAGTCTGTGTAGACTGAAAGCTACAGTTGTTTTGCTTGAACCTTCTGTCCACGGAAAGCTAAAGGGCAGGAGAGCCCAGGGCCATGAGCATGATCTGTTATGTATTGTCATGCTGTTGTAATTAAGTATTGCTGCCTGCCATCTCCGCTCTGTCCTTCTCCACCTCAAAGCTGCTATTGATCTGTCGGCTCTGATGGGAAGCGGATTTACCACCTAAACCACGGCGTGCCCATCTTTTACAGATCTGCCTGCCTCGGGGATAGACAGGGATTTATAAAGAAATGTAAATGCTGTTCACTTCAGCTTTCAGTTCACATCCTTGAGCTTTCAGTTGCAAAATCCCACTTTTAAAAGCCTTTGTGCTAAGTACGCTTGCAAGTTTGTGTGCATGTACCTCTATGTGTCAGCATACGGATGTGAGATAGGATCTTTTCCGAGATCTATTTATAATAGTATACATGCATTTTGGAGCACTGGGTTTGTCTATGGTAACAAAAGTTGATCCTATGTTCTAAAACCAAGTAGGCTGCATTTCTGTCTACATGGGAAGTTGTCTTCTAAACGGGCGGTGAATTTGAAACATTCTAAGCGAGTTTAATATTCAGACACTTCAACAGGAATCCATGCGATTGGGAATTTCACACACATTTCCCCACACTGATTTCATTTAAAGGGCAAATAACACAGATTCTGCCAATCTCATGTACATTTTGAGTAACTATTGAGTAGTATTGCATTCTCTTTCCCTGGATATCTTTAGATTCTCTACAGTATATGTTCATGTTGTTTACATTATATGCACTTATGCGCCCATTGCCTGCAATTCCAAATCATGACTGGGATCTTTTAGCGCTGAAACTGCGCCATCTTTTAGTTTCAAACAATCTGCCTATCCAGCATCGATCTCGGCCTTCTTTTAAATGAACACTCCGATTTTTTTGGACTTTAGCTTATTCACCGTATCCCCCAGAGTTAGATAAGTCCATACATGCCTTTTTCATCTCTGTGCGTGCTGTAACTCTGTCTGACACACCCATCGCTAGCCTAGCTTAGCACAAAGACTGGATGGAAATGGATACAGCTAGCATACCAATCTCAATAAGAGACAAAATAACATTCTCCGGTATCACTCCGGTATTTCGCTCGATGGTTTCGTTTTCGCCTCATACATGTGTTTATAGTGGAATTGTGATGCGGCTTAGCTGGTGAATAACACGTCATAACCAAACGTTATGTGATTGGCTTACGGGTAACCAATGATTTTTAACTTAAGACAAAACTATGTAAACTATTATCTAGTAATTGCTGACTCTATTACTCCAACTCTGAATGAACTCTCTGCTCCTTACCACGGTGTGTCTTAGATGCTGTGGTAATCCCTCCGTCCAAGTAGCAGTGCTTCGCCTTCTGAGAATATAGTTCCCAATATTTATAGGGTTAAAAGATGGCGGTGTCTCAAATGACCTTGTTATTTGTACACTCTGTGACTATACAAATCACAACATTTAAATAGGAAAATGTTTGCGTTATTTTGTCTCTTATTGGGATTAGTATGCTAGCTGTATCCATTTACATCCAGTCTTTGTGCTAAGCTAGGTTAGTCATGGGTGCGTCAGACAGAGTTACAGCACTTAAAGGGTTAGTTCACCCAAAAATGAAAATTAAGTCATTAATTACTCACCCCCATGCTGTACCAACCCCGTAAGACCTTCGTTCGTCTTCGGAACACAAATGAAGATATTTTTGATTAAATTTGAGAGCTGTATAACTACCACATTGGCTCCTAAAGGACTGCCTCTTGACGGCCCAGAAAGTCAATGAAGAAAATGTTTAAATATCCCAAGTGACTACCGTGGCTCAACTATATGTTTATCAAGCGACGCGAATACTTTTTGTGCGAAAAAACAAACAAAAATAACGAGTTTATTCGACTATTTCTTTTCTTCCTTGTAGGCCAGAACGAGACTTCCTTAGATTTCCACGACGCATGCGCGAGAATTGCGATCTGAAGTGGTGTAAGCTGATGTGAGCAGATCGCAATTCTCGCGCATGCGTCGTGGAAATCTAAGGAAGTCTCGTTCTGGCCTACAAGGAAGAAAAGAAATAGTCGAATAAACTCGTTATTTTTGTTTGTTTTTTCGCACAAAAAGTATTCGCGTCGCTTGATAAACATATAGTTGAGCCACGGTAGTCACTT